GCACTAACAGAGTCGGGTGGGGCTAGAATATATAAGTAAAATTAAATAATTATAAAATAACAATGAATTTGAAGACAGAAATTGAAAGAATACTGTTGGCTGTTTCTCCATTTGTAAAGTCAGCTGGAAGGCTTTTTTTTTCCCCTCCGTAATGTAAGGCTTTGCTGCAGGGGATGCCATTTGTTTCTGGTAGCTTTGTAATGCAGTTAGGCTTCAGTAAGAGAAAGGCTCCAGGGCCTTTTGCAGTTTCAGCACTTTCCCCCTCTGTTCTCCAGCATTTCCTTTTATTCAGGCCAGGAATTCTCTTTGGATGGTCCTTCTGCACATCTTGCCACTGGCTGTAATTAATAACCTGCTTCTAGAAATTCCACTCATTGTCTTTTTTCTTTTTTCTCCCCCCCCCCTCTTTTTTTTTCCTTTTAGAAGCTGTTCAGGATAATTACTGTCTTTAAAGTTTTATGAATCACAGTGTTTGACATCTTTGATGTAGACTGATTTTTCAGATAACTGCACTTTTTGTTCTAATGTTCAATTTGTCACTGTTACTTACAAACAAGTAAGAGATTTAAAACCCCAAAGATGCAGATGTTCTTTAGCTTCATTGCCATCTGTTTTCCAGCCTACTGGATTCCAAGACTAACACTTGTGCATTTTAATGAAGCTTATGTTTATATAATATATATAAGATACAATAGAAAAGAAAATAGATACAACAGAAAGTCTTTAATAAGTTGATTTTTAAATCACTTGATCCAAGAGCAATATTTTTTCTGACGGCTTTTATTTTCATGATAAAGTTATCTTTAACTAGAGAGTTTGAAAAATGTGTTGTTTTGCTCTGTTGTACATAAATTGAAGATCAGAAAACTAAGATTTCAATGGAAGTCTCCCAAGAGAGGTGTATGATACGGCCTTAATTTACTTCACAAGTTTTACACTGTGACATTTACACAGCATTTTTCCTGGTTGTCAGAAAGCCTTACACTTACCCTGCTCATTGAAGTTGTACATCAGATAGTTGAATTCTTAGTGTAGTTTGGTAGAAACTTGATTTCTCACTCCAACAAATTGTTTCTTACAACCATCTCATTGACAAGGGATGAAATTTTAGAATTTCTGTAAAATAAGAGTCTGTCTGATCGTTAAAGTCATATTGGATTGCTTTCTCATTTATCTAGATAATTTCTGTGTTTAAATCTTTGTGATATATGGGGTAATATTTCCTCAACAGGTGACAGATTGAACAGCCTCCCCTTCTAGTTGGCAATTATCTAAATTTCTAACTCAGGCAAACACAAGCAACCAAGATTTTACAGGTACTACTTTCTTTTAAAAAGAAAGTATTTCAGGCAGAAGTATTGGTATTTGTTGCAGCTTGTGAGAGTACAAAGCAGTAAGTGCTAATTAAAGCTTTATTTATATTCAAAATGAAATATGCAGTCTTAAGTGCCTTCATCTGTCCAGTAACAAAGTTTATAGTAAACACTGCTAATCCAGTGTGCTTAGAAGTGATATTTTGGGAGATAAGATTTCAGATACTTGAGGCTGCTTGGCTGTTACAAGGAGATTAGCCATATTTTTGGAATGAAAGGCTTACTCATGGTGCCTTCTGCTTCTCTCAGCACTTAAATTTATCTTGTCTTCTTGTCTCATCTCCCTGAAATATTTTGAGTTCTTTGTCTTTAGACCCTATCTCTTGTCAAAAATCGTTTCAGTACATCCAGTTTATCACTTAAACAGACTTGAGGCAAATCCTTACTTGGTGTAAATCAGTTCAGCAGTCTTCTTAGGAGTTTAAGACTCTTTGTTGAACCCTTGTTTCTGTTCACCTATACACTGACTGGGCTTTGCTTTGGTGATTTTTGCTCTTCCATCCATTTTTTTCTAATCCACTGACTACCTATCCTGTACATCTTATTTTATTAATGTTCTGCTCTACAGACAGCTCACAGCATTTGAGTACATCAGTGATTCATTGCAGACTGATATTGAATAATCTTTTTGACAGAAGAGACTGTCTTCTTTCTGTAGCAACCCAGTCTCAAAAATGTTTTGGGCCAGTATGTCCTTTGTGCAGCCTCTCAGAGGCCAATAATCATGAACTATGATGGTCCAAGGAATCTACAGCAAAGTGAGCAGATATGATGCAAAGTGAATGAGTTCATGCCAACATAGTCTGAAGGAAAGGAGAAAAACCTCATGTTCTCCAGCACCTGAAGCCTGAAGATGGGTCAAAAACTGACCTAATACACACCAAAAATAGTATAAGGAAAAAGCCAGATATTTCCAGAGCTTTGTAGGACCAATACTACTTGAAGTCCAGAAGCAAAGATATGCCTATACTATTTGTAGTTTCTGAACCTGCTTGATTTGAGCTGAACTAATTCTATACGTAGATATAGAATCATGTCCTTTGTCAGTTCCCGCGCTTTCTCTGTCAGTGAATCCTGTGCACATAGTATGAAAGGAAAGACACTATTAATCAGAAATGACATAAAGAATTGAAAGTACTGTATGGCTGCTAATCAAAAAAAATCCCCAAAAGCCCCAAAAACCACAAACAAAAACATCCTCCTAGTAAAATGTCCACTTCATTTCATTCAGCCATGGTGGCAGGAAGAAGCACGTTGAAGGATATGTCAGCATATTATATGTACAACTGTCTGAATCAGTGAAAGGTCTTTTCACTTTCTCAATTTCTACACCATAAATTTGTCACTCTCAGGCTTCAGAAGGACTTGGTAGCTCTTGGAACGCTGACTGGTCATTGAATCCCCCTTCGTCCGTTACAAACTCTTCAGTGTTATTTTGGCAGATTTGGATATGTAAGACACACCTAGAGAATGTCAGCTCTGATGCCTCTTAAATTCAAGTAACACAGTTAACGTCGTGTCCTGGCTTGAGAGCATGTAAATACAGATAAATCTTAAATCCAGTGGAATCTTATACTTTAAAGCACATAGCACTTGCTAAGATTGCTTCCTTTGAGCACAGTATTTGGTTCACACAGCTCTTTAGGTACTTGGTGGAACTACTGATTCATTTAAAATAAGCATTTGCGGAAATGTTGTGTTGGATCACAACTTAGGAGTGTAAAACACAAGTATATATCTCTCCATCTCAGGCAGAAGCTGAATGCCTGCAGTGACTGGAGCTGGAGCTAGACAAGAGTCCTTCTTCCATTCCACCTCCATTACTTTCTCCATGGATTCTGATCCTAGCCAGGCAGTTAGCTCCACTGATGCTTCGCTGCATCCATCAGAAATCAAAGTGGAAGCCCTGCAATGTGAGAGTTGCTTAGCTAATCCGAATTGCCAGAGGAAAGAAAAGCTTAACTCTTCTTGCTTTTTAAGGTTCTTTTTCGTGTCTTTGTAGTTGGTTGGTTTGAACTGCACCACAAAATTTGTTTGCCGTGGCTTTGAACAGAACACACACATGCAGAGTTTCTTTTTGCTATTGGCTTCGGGCTGCTAATTCTGACACCTTTGTAATAAATCTGTTGGGTAGATGCAAAGCTTTAGACTTGGCAGGACCTCAGGAAATCAAGAGAGGAGGCAGCAATTCTTGTAAGAGCAGGGCTTCCAAAGGCGATATATGAAGTGGAATCATTTCCAACTGAGTTAATCTATTTAAAAGTAGCAGGTACATGAAAAGAGAAAGTGGTTAGAGTGCATTACCGGAGAAGTGTTACTCCTTGTGAAGTGGTTTCAGCACTTAAATCCATCTTTCTGAATGCCTGTAATGTGTATGACACAGCCCTGAAGGGCCAGATAAGATCTTCAGAAATGACATGTCATTTCCACCACCCAGTATTTCTTACTGGCTGGTTCTATACCTTCAGGGTTGCAAAGTCAATTAACAAAAAACTGATTTCTCCTAATGAATCTGAAGTGGTTGAATATTTATTGTCAAATTTTTGGTCCTGTAATTTACAGCTCAGATCCCCTAAGCCTGAAAGTTTTTAAATGAAAGCAGTAGGTAATTCAGAGGTAATTCAGAACCTGCAGCTGGGAGACTACTCTTGGTGATAACATTTCTCTTAAGTGTTTGAGTCCCTGTTCCTGCTGGTATATCATTGTCCTTACCACTTTCAGAATGAAAAATGTTGGGGCCTAAATAGCTTTGTGCAACCTAAATAGTTCTACTGTTTGAGACCAATGGAGGACAGATAAATGTAATTAATTAGATTTCTCATGTACACAGTGGAAGGAATACATGAGCAAACTCCTAGTTCCAGATTCTTAAAATTTAAATCTTCTAAAATCCACTACCCATACCCCCTACTGACCCAACTCAGTAGAAGGAAACCTACCCTTCAGAAGGGTAATTCAAATTTCAGGTGACCCTTTATAGCTTTTTCTTTCTCCAGTGACTAAAGGAAATTTGGAGAAATATGCTTATGTTTTGGAAACCCACAGTAAAATAAAAGGAAAAAAAATACAAATCTTTTGTGAAGGATAAACTGATATTTCCATAACAATGATTATTAAAATAATATGACTGTTTTTTCCTGGAATACATTTCTCTCTCTACTATGTTCACAAAGCAAACAGGGTAGTACTTACATTGTAAGCTGCTGATGATTATAGTTTTTCTTTTTTGAGAAATCTATCTAAAACTTTCAGTACTATTATTTGATTTGTAAAGAATTCTCAAAGAGCAACTGATTGCAAAAATTAGCATCACAGGGAGCAAGAAATCACATGATATAGACCTATGTTTTCACAGCATTCCAGTCCTAGAGCTGATGAGAGAACTTTGCAATCAGATTTCAGTGTAATTAGGAGATTTGAATTGGCCACTCTCTGGGCTGAGAAGTAACTATGGGAGCTACTTATAAAAAGCTCCCTGTTTCAGGGAAAAAAAATAATGAAAAAAAGACCTTGATGTTGTGGTAAGATCAAACTGTGGAATCAGACAGAAAAAGTGCAGTCTGTGCTGCCATATGTTAAAGCTCTTATCTGTTTAATGTTAAGGTATTTTCATTTTCTTTTTGTTAGAATGATATGGGAGGCCAAAGGAGCCTAATAAACAAGTGGACAACTTTTCTGAAAGCCAGGCTTGTGTGTTCCATACCTGGTCCTGAAGGAGCAGACACACATTTTGATGAGCTGCGTAAGTTGATTTATCTTTAATGGTCTATTTTGACATTAATATTGCCTGGGTTTTTTTCTGTTTGTTTTTGTGTTTTTGTTTTTTCTTTCCCCCCCCGATTTGTAGAAGCACTGTGTCTCGTTCTGACTTTACTCCTCTTCCAAACAGTAGTAGTAGTATCTCTGACTTTTATCAGAAGTCCCAGAATTGATCTGATCAGAATTACAGGGTTTTTCCCTTCCCCTCCAGAAGCTGGAAAGTGAAAAACTGATTCTGTATAAAAACCAGACTACCTGCAAATGGACACATTTCAGAATAGTAGCACAAATCCATGTGGCATAAGTTAAAATTCATACTAAAATAAAGCTTTGTTATATTTTTACAGATCTCCAAATTATAAATGGTAAATATAGAAATAGTCAGTGAATGTTTAACTAAAAAAAAACCCTAAAACATATTTTTCCCATTGCAGAAGATATATTCTTACTTTCAACAAGAGATGAGAGAAACCCGCTTGTATATGGAGTCTTCACTACAACAAGGTATGTGTCAGGATCATGTGTGGCTCTGGGAACAAATGTTAAAGATCTTGCTCAGGTCTTTTATACTCTCTATATACTCAGGTCTTCTATATTAGGTCCTGATTCCTGAGAGCAGTTAGAGATTGCTAGAATAAGGCTTCCAATATCAGGGCTGTAGTCACTGAGGACAATATTTTTCAGAAATGGAATTAATAAATTATGTCCCTAAACCCTTATGTGCCTGACTTTTGAAAATGATTATAGAAAACAATAAAAATGTAACAATCAGAAACAAGCTAGTTCATTTCAACCTCATCAAGTTGAATTTATAAATTTCTATCGTATTTATTGAGTAACCAGTATTTGCTACTTAAGACAAATCTTTGTCATGAAGCAATATTTCTGTAAGCAGCATCTTGACATCTGCTGTTTTTTAGTATCAAAACTACTCTCTAAGCTGACAGTTCAGTGATTTTATAGACTTGAGTTTATGAAAGAATAACCCAACTTTATCTCAAAGGGATACACTAAGTAATTAATGACCTCTCAGCTGCAATGGTGAGATGCTTTCTATAGAATTGTGGGAAAGAAAATAACTCTTTTATCTCCAGAACCTTTCAATTAAGTGTAAATAATAAAGACTAGCCAAATGCTGACCAGTGTTAGTACAATGAAGAATAACCAAGGCACTCTTTAATTCAGAAGCAGTCACCATAATACCTGTGCAGATATATAACCACAAAAAATATTTAAAATTGAAGTAAACGTTGCACAATAAATGAAATAGCTTATGAAGTAACTAAAGTACATGTCACTAAACAACCTGACATGATATTCTTTGGAAAACTGAAATGTTTGGAAGTTTTTTTAGAAAAATACATTAAAAAAGGAAAAATATGTAGAAAAATAAATAAATGGGGATTTTTTTGTTGTTTGAGGGGTTTTTTTGTCTTTTCAATGCAACTTGTAATTCTCAGGGACTTTACCTATAATATCACTAATATACAGACTTCCAGATGTGAACACAATGTAAAGGAATGTCCTTAATTTGCACAAAATTCTAATCAAAATAGCTAGTAAATGATAGCTTGAAACTATCAGCCATTAGAAAAAATGACAGTCTATCAAGTGGTCCCAAAGGCTAATCCAGATTTCAACCAAGCAAAGCTTTAAACTGTAACAACAGTGACATTAAATATCTGTAGTTATCAGACCTGTACACATTGTTATTTAGCACCACTTATATCGACTGTCAGGTGTTGGATTGATCTAAACTCCTTTAGACTCTGTGAAATTAGTTAGTCCACTGGCTTAGACTCCGAAGAGGTGTTTGCAGTGTGCATACCAACCCACCTTCTCTTTCAGCTCTGTGTTCAAGGGCTCTGCAGTGTGTGTGTACAGCATGGCAGACATCAGAGCTGTGTTCAATGGCCCTTACGCTCACAAGGAGAGTGCGGATCATCGGTGGGTACAGTACGAAGGTCGCATCCCATATCCCAGACCTGGTACAGTAAGTGTCTCCTTAATTACATACTTCTATTTTTACTCAAAGACAATCATGCTTCACACCCCTCCCAGGATTGGTAATTTACATTTTCCACTCAGGATGTTTCAAATTATCCTCTCAACTCTTTGCCCTCTGTTGACAGCCCTTCTACCTACCCTGTAGGTATATAAATATACATTTTTCCATGTCTCCGAGATAACATTGTGTCCAGACTGTCTATTTCCTGATTGTCTCTCATATTGTGGCCTCCCACTGTACAGCTATATTTCTATCTGTTGCGATCACCTCTAAGGCATTAACACTGCATAAAAAGCCAAAACCACTACTTTATGGAGTATTAAGTTATGATGAGGTATTTTATTTGAAGTCTTGTATTTCTGTTATCTTCATGTCTGTTAAAATCGTTGAGACACTGCCATAGATTCTGTTTTGTGTGGTTTTGCACATTTTGTGTTTTGAAGTAAAATAAGGAGGTAATTGCTGGAGATTTTCTGTGATAAAAGATAAGTAACAGGAAGAAAAAGAGAAGTCTGGTATGTGGAAACACTTTTAAATCCCAGTCTCTTAGACTTCGGCTGTAATAGTCAGGCCAAAACAAGGAGGAAAACTTTGCAACAGTTAATAAAGTTTTCTTTTCCCACTTCTGTCATGGTATCAAGTTCAGAAAAGCACAGGCCGACATTACAGGTGAGGAAGAAATGGTGTTTTCAAAAAATACATCACCTTTAAAAACATAAAAACTTTGATCAATTCTTTGTATGTAGAATGTAAAAGAGCAGTGATTTTATCTGGAATAGCTTGACATTTTCTTGGTCAGGTATTCAGTGAACTAGTATTAGGCAACTGCTTAAATCCAGCCCAGCAGTGAGCTGTCAAGGCTGGACCTTTCCTAGAAGGTGTTTGGCTGTTCCTGCGCTATTTCTCTCACATGAGCATGTAACCTTTGTTTCAAGCCACATTATCTAGTCAATTTAGTTCGTCTTTTCACACATTTTCTTGTGTCCCTGTGTTTTCTTCTTCATCCTTCCAGTGGACTCAATTGCGCGGTCCAAGCTCATGCTGTTTGTTGCACACGGTGGTCCAAGGGCTTGAAAATCAGGCCTTGAGCACTAATTCCTTTCTGCTGCACATGAGCCTCAGAGGCAGCTCTCTCTCTAAAGACCAAAGCAGCTCAGAGACTGATTTGGCCTGCCCAGGATCTGCGCTGATGGAGCAAATCCCACCGAATTTAGACAATTTAGGCTTTGCAGGCTTGTTCATCTCTCTGCCATACAAAATAGACAGTGCCCCCAGGAAAGAAGATTGCATTCAATTTTTTTTTTTCTTAAGTGCATGCAATGCTATAACTGGTTAAGAAGTTCAGATGAATTTAGTTTTAAGTACAAAAATGGTGCCAGGGAGAACAATAGCTGGTCCCATGGCATCTAAGGAGATTAAAATAACTCTCTTGAAAAATTCAGACTGCCCCATAAGGACGAACACTCTGCACAGATAGACGTGTCATAAGCTCATTGCATTTTTGAGTGTATTAGCCATCACATGGTTGAGCTGGGATTCACAAGGAAACATGTCATGCTGAAGCATGTCAGTGCTGATCTTTATCATTTGATTTGAATATCCATGGTGCAAGTATTTTAAAAGTTGGAAAGTTTAAAGATAAACAGATATTTTCCATAAGCCTGCCCTTAACTCTCCCAACTACTTCCTTTAAGCACCTGATAACAGCTGTCAGAAAATAGTATCATAAAAGTCCTTTGAACCTCCACAGTCAATGGATTTCTGTAGGAGTTATTCTGACCAAGGACTGAGAAGGGAAGTGGATTTACTGAAGAAAGCTCTCAGAAGTAATCTTTACTATATAAATAAGGTAAATGTATTGCTGCATAGCTTTTTATTTGTTGTCTTAGTGAGCTGGACTGCAAAATACTTCAGGTTCAGCAGCTTAATATAGATTATCACAATAAGTAGAGTCATACCACACTCTTCTCTTGTAATGGGTTATGCCAGACTTGGATAGGAACAGATTTAGACTGGAATCTGAAAAGGCAGTACGGTGCTCAAAGGCAAGGAAAAGAAGCAGCATGAACCTTACAGAACACTGCATCGTGAGTGCTGAAATGCTCTTCCTTAAAGATTAATTTCATCATTTCTTGCCAGTTATGAGGTGGTTCAGGAATGTTCAGAACAAAGCCAAAGAGGGATAATCTATCCTTTCTTAAGTTACTAGAACATTTTTAAATGTAAGCTCCTCCCAAGTGCTGCCTACAGCTGGCGTAGCCAGCACTGCTCTGATTCTATATTTCCTATATTTTAAGTTACGGGCAAAGTCTAAAAATGGCTATACTAGGAAATGTGTTTCTTTTGATGCTTGGCTTTGAGAGAGGCATTGACTTCCTTTCCACATTTATACAGAAGCAGGAGACTGCTTACCCTAATTTAACTTTCTGCTCAGCTGCCTTTATCTCCTAAGTAAATAAAGCTGCTCACTATAGAGGCTGTGACCACTTTGATATTGAAATTTTGACAAAATGCTTCCTGTGGTAATTTGTGTCTGAGATAAACTCTGAACATGACTGTGATATCATGCCTTCGCAATGCCGAGCAGCAGCAGCAGCCCCTGCCTGCCCGTGGTCCTGGAGCTGCAGCAGGGTCTGCCTGCCCTCTGCCGTCATTGGAAGATCCCTGGACAGGGTGAAAGGGCACCTCTGGCACACTCCACACCATTGACACTGCAAAACATACAGCTCTTTAGCTTCTCTAAGCTGTATTAAAGTGCAAGTGGAAATAATGGGAATTAAACAGAGGCGAGACTTCAAATATATTTCCATTTGGAAATAAAAAGAGACAGAAAAAAAACATGAATCAGGCAGCCCTGACACAAAGGGCGAGTTGAAAAGCAGGGGAGCTTTTGCTCTATCTGCTTTAGCTGTTTAAAAATTGGACTTGAATGTCTGCAGCTGTCCCCAGATAACAAAACCAGTTTTCTTCCAGTCTCTTAGGGTTTCACTCAGGAAAATATCCATTAATAAAGAAACCATGGATGACTTTCTTTAAAGTGTGTTCTGCATTCTGAAGCAGACTTTTCATAATGTAGTCCTGGTAATCACAGAAGGCATTCGAACAAGATTTTCAGTGAATTAGCAGGAAAAAATTTTTCTAATTTATTTAGCTCTATGACAGCAACTCATAGTACCCATTTGGAAATTCTGATGGCATACACAGGAGTGATCCTCATTTCATTGATGGTGAGTAAGTGTCATTAAGGTCAGATTTTTAGAGGAATATCAGTGTTTAAAGATCCAGATTAACACTTAATCTGATCTACTGCAGAACATAGAACTGTTAACTGCTATTCAAGGCAACACCAAATATTTTTGATGGTTCTAGATATTTTACTAACTGATTTGCCAAAAGATCAAAACTAAGCTCTGAATAAGCAGAGTGTTGCAGTCTGTCACTTAGCTACAAGAAGAAACAGACCTGCACTTTGCTCTTGTACATTGAATAATTTAATGTCTCACCTCTTTCCATTCCAGATCTGAATATGGACCCAAGCTCTTGAATTCCTTGTGTTTTCGTTTTTTAAAACAAATTCTCTTACAAGTCCTCAGATTCTCCTCTAATCATAGAATGAATGCACTAAGTAGGAAGTGACCCATCAGGATAATTGAGTCCAACTCCTGGCCCTGCAGAGGATACTGCAGAATCACACCATGTGCCTGAGAGTATTGTCCAAATGATTCTTGAACTCTGACAAACTTGGTGCTGTGACCACTTCCCTGGGGAGCCTGTTCCAGTGCCCAACAACCCTCTGTGTGAAGACCTTTTCCCAATATCTAACCTAAATGTCCCCTGACTCAGCTTCATCTTTTTTCTTATTTTTTTGTCTCTATTGCTTTTTCTCCCTCTCTTCAATGAAACTCCACCCTTTATTTCTTCTGCTAATCCAGTGCACAGGCTGAACAAGATGTGGTGTCCATCCTGCTGGGAGTTGGCTGTGCCACAGAGAAATACTGTCTGCCAAAAAGCCTCCCCTTGTCCTCCCATCTGGTTAGTTTTGCTGCTTTAATAAGCTTGTTCATAAAACGTTGAGGGTTGCACAGGTTTCCCTTGTTATTTTTAGACTTATCTTCCTGCTTCACGTATCTTTTATGGGACAGACTGCATTCTTTGCTTCTCCAGTTCCTCTCTCCTTTGATCTCCTCCCTGTAAATGGGGCTGCTTAATCAAGCAAAATGTTTCACTTTGTGGGTTTATTTTCCTCAGAAAGCCTCCTACACCTTCTGTTACTTACCAACCAGTTTTCCCCAACATGAATCACCTTCCAGTTCATAGCAGCCTTTGGAAATGCTGCAAACCCTGTCATCTTTCCTGACGGCAGAGGTCAGCAGAGAATTGCAAAGTGCCACCTGCAAAGTAAAGTTCACTCACCTAGCTGGTCTCAGCTCAGTTAGCCTCAGATTAATGCTCTCTTAATTTTCTCAGTGTTTTCTATGAACAGCACAGGTGTGTTAAATGGAAAAGCAATACAAAGTGCTCAGGACAAACATAAGAACAGAGTAGAATAAATCTTGCACAACCAGTGGCTTACAAAACCTTAAAAAAATAGGGACTTAAATTTTTGTTTGTGATTTTTGTTGTGGGGGTACAGTGATTTTGATTCCATTTCAAATTTACACTGTTTGTTTGTCTCCTACAAACCTGATTTGTTCTCTCTCCCCTGCCCTCTTCCAGGCTCACTCTGAGTAGCTGCAAGGTTAGTATGACACTCCCTACTGAGTGTCCAGTCCTTCTGGCACAACTCATCCACCCTGTGGGGAAGCACTAAGGCTTTTTTCAGGCATGTGCAAATGCAAAATGTATTGTGCAGCTATGATTAGACTACAGAAGAGAAGCCACATGGTACTTAGACCACTGAGGAACCCAAGTTTTACCTCCAGAAGGGCTTATGGTTGAACCTTCAAAGGTACATAAGTGCCTATGCCCTGAGAGTCATCTCTAAA